AACATATTACTTGAACTAACCAAATTAATTTACTTCTCATCAAAATGCATATATTTAGAGTATATATGTATATATATATATATATAAAGCATTTAGGGATAGGACGGTAAGCTTTCTTGACTCATTCAAAGTGATACCCTGCCCTGATGATGCCCACAATACGACTGACACAAACTCAGCATGTTCTAATCGGAATCGAAGGAGATCGCCTTAGGGACACATTCAGCGGAAATTTTTCGGTAAATTCAACCGACAGCTGGCCAAGAGGAACCCACCGACTATTACACACATTCTTCCTCGAACTGGAAGCGAGCTTGGAATATACGAATATACCGAGACTTAAGGAAATGGGAAGTGGCACTAGCAGTCTGGGACAAAGGGAAAGGAAGAAAGGATTGCCATTACTTGTCCCTTTGATGAGTTGTAACTGGGACAAAGTTAGCACCTCTCATAAGCGATTCTGACTACGATTCCGGCAAAATGTCTGGGGATGCACCAAGTCAACAGCTCGATGCTGGAAATTGTCATTGCTCCTTTGGTGCGGGACTCAGGAATAGATACGCTCAAAAACGTTTTCCTATCGCCCCGACTAAATTACGAAAACAAGGCCATTCCAGCTCATTAGAGCTGAAGAAGAAAGCAGCCAAACCTAGTGATCGTCATATCAACAAATAATTATGTTTTTTTCTGATGTAATGTTTAATTTAATTATCATTAATACATCTTAAAGCCCCACGCATGGGCTGGACGGCGTCTGATAGCCGTTTAGGCAGAGAAACCGCCGAGGAACTGTTATGTACCGGCTGGCCTGGTTGCTTCCGTCCATTTTGATTCTGTCTGCAGCCGCTATAGCGGTCGGCTGGGGGTCCAGGCCGGATTAAACACTGCGAGGGGAGAGATCTGGCGTCTGAAGAACCAGCGCTCCCGACTTATTTACGCGAACAGCCAGCAAACAGGGAACATACTTTTCACGATATAGTGAAGATGATGGCTCAGTTGCTGCGTCTGAAAGTGTGTGCTCACGCACAAGCGCATTGTAGCAGTCAGCATAAAACGGGGTCCAACGCGGCTTGGAGCGGACGGTATGACGAGCCGGCCGACTGAACGGGACGCAGAATCTGCTCCCGGACGGGTGGGAAAAATGGGAAATTACCCAAGCCCCTCGGCTTCTGGCATGGGGTTGTAGCTTTCTTGTGCGAAGGCATGTGTATTTATGCTTATTTTACCTTGCATTACCGATGTTTGCACACTACCCATCCCGGCGCCCTCTATAACACACACACATACACGCACACAAGCACACTGTTCTACAGATAAATGCCAGTCGCAAGGCACACAAACACTCCGAGCCCGAAGACTTTCCAGGCAGGCTTTTACACACAAGCAGACTCACACACACACATGAGCATACACATGCAACTTGGCTGATATTCCAGTGCGCTAGAACATAAACACAAGGACAAGTAAGCACTTGCGTCCACTTGCAAAGACACAAGCACCCACACACACATATACCCATACACATACCGAACTCCAGAGCTTCGTCACGTGGGGTTGTTTACTGAGAAAGGAGCAACTGAGCTGCAGGGGGAGAGGGGTAATGGGGAATTTTAGGCTTGCCATGATTGCTCAAATATTTGATCTCCTCAAAACCAGCTGCTCAGTCAGTTGTTACAGCTGAGCGTCCTGTTCTCCATCCACACCCCGACCCGCTGACTCTCCGCATCTGCCGATATTCGCCCCCCTCTCTTACGACATCGATCGCTGCCACTCTCAGCCTGGTTGCCGTAACGCTCCGCCATGCCATTGCTCGGCCCAGCCTTCGGCATATACACATGTACACGATGGAGGGTAATACGTGTGCCCTATCATGGCGAGAGGTGGCCGACCGTCCCCCGGCCCCGGCACAACCCATAGGCCCTAGTTTGATGAGGGTTCGAAGCTTCTAATTGAGAATTTATTAAATTTTGTCCACCAATTTCAAACGGGTCGAGGTTTTAATAAATAACATGACTGACAGCAATGATTACTCATGCAAACTCTGTGACCTGGGCAAAAAACACGACTCTGGCACTTGAGATGCTGTCAATTAATCATGTTAATCTGCCGTTTGGCATTCATCCTTCAGGCCTGGGACAAGGGTGTATGGAGCACCGTCGAAGTGTTGGATCACCAAAAGACGCCCGGCCAGAGGATTTGGACTGCGGAGACTGGCCTACTGCTAGAAGATCAGGCAGCTGGCATGAAGGTGTTCAGTCGAGTCCCTGGTTCAAGTCCATGTCAAGCATGTGCTCGCTAGAAATCGTGGAACACGACTTGTCCCCCTCGGAAACAGGGTTTCCTTCCTTCACTTTGTTCTGTTGCCGTTCTATTGAATTAAATGGCTAGAAATCAGTTCGAATCCTCCCAAATCGTGAAACATAACTTTAAAGCTCGCCTAAGACGATGTAAGATTTATGGCTAAATTTCCCCACAATGAAGAGAGTCAAACTCAAGATGGCAGTGAAAGTCACATTGCCTCGTCTCACAAAAGGGTATACGATCGAAGGTGGGAGAGGTTTGACTTCAGCCAACCCACTCATTGACACTTCTTTCATCGTGGCAACACAGTACTTCCCTCCTCGGGACCTCGGATGTCAGTCGATCACGGGACTGATGTGATTTTCAAGACCGACTAGACCTTTAGCGAACCACCTTTAGATGGGTTGTCAATTGGGTAAACTTATATTTGCCATTATAA